GGGAACGTGGTTGGAAAATGTCAATACGAAAATTCGTCAGTTTCATTTTGATCGTATTGTATAAATTATGTTCATTGACATATTGTTTATTTAAAACATGTGTACGTTTATGTTGGTATCAGATTCGAATAATTACGTTGCATGTTGCGTTGATGACGATTGTGGTATGGTTTGAAGCCTTCCACGTCCACATCTTGTACCGCACTTGACATAAATGTATCTTTATCTCCTGTGCACCAATTTTGACTTTAGATTAATTTTGACTAGAGACTAATGTCGGACAAGTATAATTTGAATTCAAATCATTCTGACAATAACTTGCAGTGTATCGCAGCCATTACTGACTGAGATGCAGATTTCACTATTAATATTCTGAATGACTCTTCGTGTAGTTTGAAAATGGTCAAAATGTGAGATTGACATGATCTAAATTATTCGGTGGAAGTTTAGAAAGGAATTTAACGTCAAACACGGTGAATTATCGGATTCATTTCCTGCAGCAAAATATTTTCGCACTTTGTCTTTAAATCATAAGACATTTACCGAAATTGCTATCTATAGCAAAAGCTAATTTGTTGGAGAACGTAAGTGAGTGCGCCCTCACACACATCTTTCCCATTTGCTTCTTTTCAGGTGATGCTATAAATAAACTGGTTCAGCCTTATAAATCATCCATACTGAACACATTGTGGCTATGGTAATGAGTGTCAGATACCAAACAACAAAGACACAATTCATGTGTGTAACAATAGTACTAGAGCGTGAGTGTGGGTGACAGAGTAAAATTAACGACCTGTCTGTATTCGGAGCGTTTCGAACTGTACATAGAATGCTATTTACCAAGGTATTTAATATGATCTGTCTACATAATTTAAATATGAATACATTGAATGGGAAAGTTGACCTCAGTGATGACCGTAGATAAGCAGGTACAATACCTGAACCTCGCCCTGCCTGTATAAGAAAGCAAACAGTGACATGATATTCCGTATTTCGTTGTATTTGTATGAACGCAGTCAAGTGGTTTTGTGCACAGTCTGGTGTGGAGAGACTGTGTTTCATGTCTTTGTTTGTAACAATCATGGTTACCATGTCATATTTTGCTATGACACATCTGAATTTCATCAGAAATAATTGTATTGCCCATATCCTATGTTTTAAGAATGATTATTTTGATGAGAGAAATGTTTTTGTAATATTTCATACAAAGTTTGAATTCTATAAAACTATTAAATCAAGGTTATAATGAGTATTAATTTTATTATGATTGACTGGAATTAAAAACTGATAGTTTTCTTATTTCTATATGTCTCAGAAAAACTAGTGCTCTAACCTGTCAGTCGAGTGTGAGATATTATGCGTATCAGAAAAAGATATCATTTCACTTGTTCACTTGTATATGTATTTTCACTGACACTTTAATAATTAAGTGCGTTATGTATCTCCATTCAGGCTATGTCTGTATAATTAATGCGGACAGAATTTACTATTTAATATTATAATGACCAGATGTTTCTATTTTATTCTGAAATTATAC